AGTCACAAGTAAAGAACATTCCAGCAGATGTACACCTGCTGTGCACATGACAGCCTTAGAAAGTCTCTGAGGGACTGAAGCAGAAAGTGACTTACCCAGAGTCACACAGCTAGTATGTGTTAGAGGCAAAACTTGGACTCTGGTCTTCCTAGCTTTTCTATCCACTATGCTGGGCTTCCCAGAACACCTCGTTAGCAAGAATAATTAGTTGAAATAGGAAGCTGTCCTAGAAGAATCAGAGCTATGAGGGTGACAAGGAGATGCTGTTGTGCCTCAGAGAGAATTATGTACAAATTGGTTCTGGGCATCCTGTACCTTAGGCATAGAGAGGAAGCTAATTTCCTTATTTTAAGCTCATGGCATCTTAGAAAAGGCCCTTAGAGGGTTACCTGGTCCAACCCCCTCATTGTGAGAATGAAGTAATTGAGGTCCACAGAGACTAAATGACTTTCCCAAGGTTACTTAGGTAGTGTTAGATCTGGAATGTGGGCCTAGGGCCTTTGACTCTACACCCCATGCACTTTCCACTTTATATTCTGCCTCTTGGTATGGCCCCACTTAGGGGCCATGAAGTCTTAGAATTCTAGAGACCACAGAATGTTAGAGCTGGAAATGATCTCATGCAACCTCCTCATTTTACAAAGGAGGAAACTGAGGCCCAGAGAAAGCTTGCACAGGATATCAAAGGTCCTGGGATTCAGCCTGTATCAGTCAGTCCAAACTGTGCTCAGGGCATTGAACATCCCCCACAAGCATTAGCCTAGTTAGTTCTGGTCAGTTTGCATTCAGTCATTTTTTCAGTCATGTCGAATTCTTGGTGATCCCATTTTGGGGTCTTCTTGGCAGAGATACTGGAGTGGTTTGCCATTTCCTCCTCCAACTCATTTACAGATGAGGGAACTGAGGCAAACAGGGTTAAGTGACTTGCCCAGGGTCACGCAGCTAGTAAGTATCTGAGGCCAGATTTGAACTCAGGAAGATGAGTATTCCTGACTCTAGGGCCAGTGCTCTATCCATTGTGCCACCTAGCTGCCCTCTGGTCAGTTTGACCTGAATTTACTGGACACCAGCATAGCTGAATGTAAGGGAACGCCAGTTGGCAGGGGATTTTGGACTTCAGGCCTTCCATTTCTTTGTCTCTGGAATTCTTAGTGATCAAAACTCCTTTTCAATAAACTCAGTGTCCTTAATCTCTCACCACCTGCTGCTGCTGGTGGAACTGATTTCTATCTGGATAGGCAATTGGGACCCAGTCTTTTAGACAGGCCTATAAATAAGTCTACAGGCATCAGGAGCTGATGATAAAAAGGCAAAGGAAAAACTTTCTGAGATGGCCTCCATCAGAGCCCCGAGGGAGAGATGGGCTGCTCTCTGTTTCCAGAAGATGAAATTAGCGAAGCCCCCGTCACTCACACCTCGAGACAAGTAAGAGCTGGAATCCGATACCAAATGCCACTGAAGAAAATATATATCCTCCAACATAAAAGGCCCCAACGTAAATTAGAAGAAATATGGAGAGCCTTCAAAAAGGTAGGTCAAACTTTTTCCTCAAGCAGATAATTACAGGCTGGGGGTGAGTAAATCTTATTAGCCTCTCTCCACCTCATCTTTCCTCATAAAACACTGGTGGGAAAGAGCTGCAGTCAATCTGGGGCTGACACTTTGCTTAGAAATGGACAGGGCTATCTGCCGCCCATGGCATTACATACTAGGCTCACTTTCTTAACTGGCTATTCTGACCCGCCACCTACCAGACCACCAGCTAGTAGTAGTAGGAAAGCTGCATCTAGGAATATTTTCACTTTGGGGAAAAACAGTGGAAGAAGTGGATAGATCCTCATTACCAAGAAGGTTGGGAGCCTGGGGGTTGGGAGATGGGTGGATGGGGGTGTGTGTGTGTGTGTGTGTGTGTGTGTGTGTATGTGTGAATAACAGGGTTTGACTTGTAGGTGAGGGGTAGTGGGGCATAGTGATTTCTGAAGGGAGAAAGTGAATGTTCTTGAGAAGGAAGCAGTTCTTCACAGATGATATCACCCTGGAATAAAGTTTCATTTTCCTCATTCTAGTCTTGGGTCTGGCTAAAAAAGCTTAACCCATGGAGAAGTATCTATAGGCAATATCCACAGAAAGTTATGTTCCACTTAAAGTGGCTATATCCACTTGTTAAGCCTTAGTTACTTATCACTGTCTGAAAAATTACCCCTTCAGGCTGAAATAGTCTGACTAAACCCTTCCATCCAAGTCTGAGGTCTTGAAATTAATGAAGTTATTAACATTTCTGAAAATGTCTCCTCTATAGCTCTTGACAGGTGTTGATTTATGGCCCTGAACCCTTCCTGATGTCTCTATCAGATCACAGAGGAATATGGGAACAGGAGGTCTAACCTGAACTTTACCACTGGTTCGCTCTGTAGAGTGAGTGATTTAACCTCCAGGCTTTTGGGATGAGTCCGAAAAAGTCCATCTCCAGTGGTCCTGGCTGACTGACTTAGTTACTCCTGAGTAAGAATGTGGTAGAAAGATTGAAACCATCAAGATGTTTGGCTATCTTGGCAATGATGAGATAATAGTTACTACCAGACAATAATAATGAAACTGACTATAGCAGTTATACCTGAGTGCTTGAACTGCATTTGGCCAGAAGCCTTGATTTTCTCCTTTTTCCAAAAGGGAAAAAACAGAATGTTACTTAGGATAAGGAAGCTGGCCAGTTTATAGATTCATAAGACCTAAATATGAAATTAGGAAATGTTCCTCATTAAGTTAAAATTAATCCTCTTAATTTTAATCAACTTCATTAAATTGACATCCTTACACACACACACACACACACACACTGAACATTAAAGAGAGACTACTATTTTAATAACAATCTAATAATGATATAATTTTGACTGAGACTCACAGAGGAGAAATATTTCCTTTGAAGTCATACATCCAGTGAATGGTTGAGGGGGACCTAGAAGCTAAGTGGTCTGACTCACGTCCCAGTTTTTCTATGAGTGACCAGCTTAGAAATAACAGTCAACAAGCCCTGGCTTCCCTTAGAGCCAAGATGCTGACAACAGGAGTCCACTAGAGAGAGCAGTCTACTCCTATCATCTTGCATAGTGTAGACACATGAGCATAAATTGAGTTCAGTTGTGAAGTGGGGAAGAGGGATATTTTAAAGTAGATCTCATGGGTGGTTTGTCAGTATTAGGGATGTGTAACTAAAGGTTAGGGAACATAGGAAGGAAGCCTGAATCAGGCTCAGGAATTTGAGATGGACAGTATACCAAATTGAGATAATAAAATCACAATCAATAGAAACATTAAAGCTGAAATGAGGTGACCAGCTCTTGGGGTTTTTGTAAAAAAATGAGGATAGAGTACAGTAGAAGGTTGGATTTGATGACTTCTAAGATCCTACCATCACACAATTGCTCCTCTCCTGAGAATCACTTTTCCTTTCTGTGGAGAAAGTTTTGAATAGGTCTCTTTAGATGGGTAACAACACTGTTTTGGGATTTCATTGGGGCTTGTGAAACTCTTTTGGACAGTTGCTCCCAGAATGCCAATGACTATTAATGCAGTGTCAGGATCAGAGTGGTGATCAACCAGGGTGAGCCCATATGGACTGACACAATGGCATCCATTTAGAAGACAGAACTACAATGCTTCTGCATTGTAGAACTAACCCACCGTGAGCAAATTCTCCCTCTTACATGCTGAATTTGTTTTATTCTTGCATTATTTTTAGATCATGAATTACAAAGTCGATTGAGGACATGGCTGCTACATATTTCAAGTTGTTTGCCTTGATTGCCCAAATTGCTAGTTATGGCTGTGGTTGGGATGAAGTCCAGGGAGGAGGAACCAAACACCAATTAAACATGCTTGTTATTAGCACAATGGCTTGACTCTACCTGAAAGAGAAGTGGATAGCCTACTTTGACCTATGGTTTGGATGAAACATTGGATGAACTACCTACTTCCAAATGCTTCTCAAAGTGCCAGTTTCCCCCTCCCCTTGAAATTCAGATCATTTCAATCACTGACAAATTAGAGGATATATCTAAAACAGAGGTGTCAAACACCCTACCACACGGCTGAGTGCAGCTGGCACAAAATTAAAATATAACTAGGAAATATGTTTAACAAAATAAAAATGCCATGAAACATAGACAACATTACGTTTTAAAACTCAGTCAATATGCAGCCCAGAGGAATCCTTATGGATGGACTATTGGTTCCCATCTCCATTTGATACCAGTGCTCTAAGAGACCGAAGTTAAAATGGATGCATGTTACTATGACTACAAAGAAGGATTATTTTGTCAGAGTAGCTGGTGAGCTCCTCTGAACCTAAAGGCATAAGACAAAAGGAAAGTAGTAAAATTCCAACAAAGGGATGATAGTGGTGGTGCTGCTGCTGTTGCTGAGAGAACAGGCAATAGCAAAGCCTTAGGATGGTGAAGGCAGAGGAAGTTGCTACATGAGGGAGATCAGCAATGCAAAGAAAGCATGCTTAGGTTGAGAAGGGGCCTAGGTGAGTGCCTTAACATACACTGGGAATCATCGAATCCTAGGAATAGCAGTTGGAAGGGGCCTTAGAAGTCATTCTAATTCAACTGCTTCATTGTTCAGGTAAAATACATAAAACCCATAAAGTTTCAGTGACTTTCCTAAGGTTGTACAAACGCACGCGTGCGTGCGAGCACACACACACACCCACGATAAGTGGCAGAGCCAGGTTGTTATCTCAGATTTTTTTAATCCCCAAACCAGATGATGGCAGATGCCAACAGGTGAGTGGACTAGGGAGAACGCCAAACACCGACTTCACCCATTTCTAAATTGTTTCGCTTGCAAGTTCATTTTAGGGTTGCGTCCAAGACCTATGGAGCACTAAAAGATGTATGGTAATTTGAAGCCCACTCCACTGGCTATTACTTTCAATTTTCCTTAATTATGAGACTGACATAACTGTTCAAAATATCCCTTAGAAACTCACTTACCATAGCGGCTACGTTGAGAAAGGAAAGGGGGAGAGTCTTTCATGATCCATGTTAGGTTCCAGATAAAGGGTTCTGGAGTGAGAGCAGGGACCTTTGTAGAAGATTCCAGGGAGCTTGGAGCTGTATATTAAAAAAATAAAGAAAAAATACTAATTAATGTGCTGTCTGTTGATGGTTTCTAGAAACAATTGTAAGGACTTACAGATGTCTAATTAAGTCCGATTTAAAAAATTAAGTACCACATCTGTGCTAGGAACTGCATAGTACCTCATGCTAGAAACCACAGAGAGAAAGATGGACATCCCACAGTACCAATGAGAAATATTATCCCATTTCAGCAGATGAAGAAGGTGACCAGCTGTGTGACCTTGGGAAGGCCACTTAATTTCTTTAAGCCTCAGTTTCTTCATCAGCAGAATAGGAATAATTATATTTATACTATCACCTCATAGAAATGTGCTATCTCCTCTATGGAAATAAAATGAGATTGGAAATGGAAGTTCCACTGAAGCTAATAATAGTCATAGAATTGGTACTATTACTGTTTTGAATGCATATAGTCTGACCAGGACAGAGTACAGCAGGGTGATGACCACTCTTTAAAGAGGGGGTACCCTTCGTTAATGCAGCCTTTATCTGAATTACCTTTTCCAGCAGCTGTAATGTTGATTCATATTGAGTTTGGTGTTCACTAGAATCCCAAGATATTTTTCAGGGGAATGGGTGTATAAGAATGCCCTGCCCTTTCTCATTCTGTTTGTATTGCTTACTTTTGGCCCCAAATATCGGGTTTTTCTTTACTCTTCCTAATTTCATTTTAATAGATTCAGCTAATTATTCAGCCAGTTTGAAGGTTTTTTGGATCTCAATTCTGTTATTCAATGTCTCTGCCATCCTGCTTCAATTTGAACAATCCACATATTTCATAAGCACTGTCTATGATTTACCTAATCATTGATTTAAAAAAAAAAGAAGAGATGAGCAAATAAATAAATAAATAAATAAATAAATAAAGGCCAAGAACAGGTGTCTGGGGGCATTGCACTGACTACAGTCCTCCCTCCAGGTTGACAGTAATTCATTTGTTACCATTCTTTTGAGTCTAGTCACTTAACCAGTTTTCAATCCATAGTTTTTTTTTTACCCAGTCCACATTCTTCCATCTTATCCATGAAGATATTATGAAAATCTTTGTCAAAGAAGACATTCAATGGAGTCAAGATGGCAGAGTACAGGCAGCAAGCCAGCTGAACTCTACTGATATTCTTCTCCAAACAACTTTAAAATAATTCCTCAAATCAAATTTTGGAGTAGCAGAGTCAACAAAAGGTCAGAAGGAGGCATTTTCCCAGCCTAAGACAACCTAGGAAATTGGAAAGAGAGATCTCCGATAACAGTGTGAGGGCTGGCCCAGAATGCAGCGGAAGTACCAGCTGTGGGCCTTGGAGGCTGCCATGACAGCCCAGAAACAGCAGTAGTTTCAGGAGCTCTCAGTCCACAGACAGTAAGGGGATTGGACAACTGATCAGAAAGAGATTACAGAGGACCTCTGGCTGGCACTGGGTGCAGCTGGCACTGACTGGCAACTCTATTGCTCATACCTCGTTCTGGGTCACAATTCCAGAGCAGAGAGAAGTACTAGTACCTGTGGTCTTTCACAAGGGAGAAGGGGCCCTGGTTGCAACTCCAAAGCAGAGAGGAGCACTAGCACTTGTGGCTGCAGGAGAATAGGGTACCTGGACAGAGTTCCAGGGCCAAGAGGAGCACTAGTACTTGTAGCTACAGAGGAGCAGGGATCCTTCCTGGGTAAAGACCAGAGCACAGATCAGGAGAGCAGTGACCACATTTCTCCCTGGATCACAACACTTTAGAAGCACTAAAAACCCTGAACTAGCTCTGCAAAGAACAGTATCAAAAAACCTGAAGCTTGGGAAAGTGCCTCCTCATTCCCAGGTGAGCAGAATGCAACTTTAATACAAAGTTATAAGCCAAAAAATAGACAGGAAAAAAATGAAAGAAGGAGGAGGAGAAATTGACCATAAAAAGCTACTACAGTGGCAGGGAAGACTAAGACACAAACTCAGAAGAAAACAACAATGTGAAAACAGCTACAAGCAAAGCCTAAAAGAAAAATGCTAATTGGAGCCAAGCCCAGGAAGAATTCCTGGAAGAGTTAAAGAAAGAGGTAAGAGTGACAGAGGAAAAATTAGGAAAAGAAATGAGAGTGATTCAAGAAAATTATGAAAAAAGAATAAACAGTTTGGTAAAAGAGGCACAAAAATACTGAAGAAAATTACTGAGTTAGCTTAGCATGAGCTCAGAGAAACTTGTAGAGATTGGAATTGTCTCCTTGATGTTAGGATGGTTGAGTAGTTTCACTGTCATGTCTAATCCTGTTCATATCTTTAAGCTGAGTCCTTTCAGTAGTCAACATAGCTCTGTAGGATCAGTCCAAGCTCTTCCTTTACTCTACCTCTCTTACATAACAATGACAGCGCTAGTGAAGTGTCCCATAGCTTCAAGACCAACTTGTCCCACCTCAGTTTCTAGTCTTTAGAAGCCTTGCCAGTTCTAGGATAATGGATGTCTAACAGAAAATGGTCAATGAGAGACCAGTTTTCAAGAGGACGTACATTATACTGTACTGATGAAATCCCCCAATTGGATATTTTAAAAGTCTGATTCTGGGAAGGCATGATGAAAAGCCCTTCTCTTGAATTCAGAATATATAAAGGCATGCTATGAAAAAAAATACTGAAGAAAATAACACCTTAAAAACAGAATTGGCCCAGTGGTAAAAGATGCATAAAAATTCATTGAAAAGAAGAATTCTTTTAAAAACAGAATTGCCTGAATGGAAAAAGAGGTACAAAAGCTCACTGAAGAAAATAATTCCTTGAAAATTAGAAGTGGGCAAGTGGAAACTAATGACTGTGGACATATCAAGAAACAATAAAGCAAAGTCAAAAGAAGAAAAAAATAGAAGAAAATGTGAAATATCTCATCAAAAAACAACTGACCTAGAAAATAGATTGAGGAAAGATAATTTAAGAATTATTGGACAATTTAAAAGCCATAAATAAAATAAGAGCCTAGACATAATCTTTCAAAAAATTATAAAGGAAAACTGCCCTAATAGTCTAGAATCAGAGGGTAAAATAGAAATTGAAAGAATCCACTGATCACCTCCTGAAAGAGATCCCAAAATGAAAACTCCCAGGAATATCATAGTGACATCTCAGAGCTCTCAGGTAAAGGAGAAAACATTGCAAGTGGACAGAAATAGTTCAAATATCATGGAGCCACGGTCAGGATCAGACAACAATGACCAACTTCCACATTAAAGAAGTGGAGGACTTGGAATATGATATTCCAGGAGGCAAATGAGCTAGGATTATAACCAAGAATAACTTATCCAGCAAAACTGAGTATAATCTTTCAGGAGGGAAAACGGACATTTAATGAAATAGAAGACTTTCAAGCATTCCTAGTCCAAAGACCAGGGCTGAATAGAAAATCTGATATTCAAACACAAGACTTAAGAGAAGCATAAAAAAGGCAACCATGAAAATGTAATCATAAGGAACTTGATATAGTTAAATTGTTTACATTCCTCTATGGGAAGATAGTCCAAATAACTCCTAAAAACTTTATCACTACTAGGGCAGTTAGAAAGGAGTCTACATAAATAGAGGGTACAGGTGTGAGTCAATTATGTTGGTATGATCTAAAAAAATAAAGGGATGAGAAAGAGGGATACACCAGGGAGAAGCAAAAATTTTTTCTCACCTAAAAAAGGTAATCAAGGATGAGCTTTTATAGTAGAGAGGAAAATGGGGTTGGGAGGGGAGGTGATAGGCAATGTTTGAACCTCACACATCAGAATTGGTTCAAAGAGGAAAGAATACACACACACACATACATATTTATATAATATATATACACACATATATTATATAGAAATTTATCTTACCCAATATGGAAATAGGAGTGGAAGGAGATAAGGGATATGGGAGTAGGAGAATGATAAAGGGGAGGGTGGATTAAGAGAAGCAGAGATCAGAAGCAAAAGGGTGAGAGAATAAATACAAGAAAACAAGAAGGAAGGAAATACACAGTTAATCATTCTAACTGTGAATGTGAATAGGATGAGTTCACCCATAAAATGGAAGTAGACAGCAGAATGGATTAGAAATTAGAATCCAATAATATGTTGTTTACAAGACACACATTTGAAACATAAAGATACAGAGTTAAAATAAAGGGTTAGAGTGGAATCTATTATGCTTCAGCTAAAGTTTAAAAAGACACGGCTAGCAATCACGATCTCAGACAAAACAAAAGCAAGAATAGACCTAATTAAAAGAGATAATTGGGGAAACTACATTTTGCTTAAAGGTACTATAGACACGAAGTAATATAAAAAAAATTAAGGGAACATTTCTTTGATAAAGGTCTCACTTCTCAAATACATAGATAGCTGAGTCGAATTTAGAAAAATAAGAGTAATTCCCCAACTGATAAATGGTTCAAAGGATATGACCAAGGCAGTTTACAGAAGAAGAAATTAGGTATCTATAGTCATATGAAAAAATGCCCTAAAGTACTATTGATTAGAGAAATGCAAATTAAAACAGTTCTGAAGTACCACCTCACATTTATCAGAAATGATAAATGCTGGAGGGGATGAGGAAAAATAGGTACACTAATAAACTTCTGATGGAGTTACAAATTAGTCCAATCATTTTGGAGAACAATTTATAACTATTCTCAAAGGGCTATAAAACTGTACAAACCCTTTGACCCAGCAATACCACTACTAAGTCTACACCTCAAAGAGATCAAACAAAAGGGAAAAAGATGTAGATGTACAAAAATTATTAGCAGCTCTTTTTGTGGTGGCAAAGAATTAGAAATCGAGGGGATGCTCATTAACTGAGGAATGGATGAACAAGTTATAGCATATGATTGTGATAGAGTATTATTGTGCCATAAGAAATGAGGGGTTACAAAAGTGAATGTTGAAAACAATAAATAAACAAACAAATAAATAAATAGAAATGAGGGGGAGAGGTGGTTTCAGAAAAAAATCCATGGCAAGGTCTATATGAACTGAAGCA